TCTGCAAAGTAAAATAACACCATTGACAGACTTCTGCAATGACCACTTTCAAAAATATCTTTATGTGATGGACTTTGAGTAGCCAAATCCATGTGCTTGCTTTTGATGAAGTGAAGTATGTGGCTGATGAAGCTCATTCACCATTCCTAAATGGGCCTTGCCTTTCTAGTGCAGTTTCGTGATATTGCTTGTGTGTAGTGCTCTCCTGATATATATCTTTATTTTTAGGATATGTGGACTGGGATTTTGCACCATGTTACCGGAGAGCACTCCTGGGTCTTTGGAGCCTGTAAACACAACCCCTTGATAGAAAGCAGTGATAAGCCCTTGATTCAGAGGGAATCCATTGCACACCAGAAGCTGTCAGAAGTTGTTCTGAATGAACGCTGGCTCAAGTCTGTTACAAAGTACTTGACTTTCAGGTAAGTGCATCTGTGTATTTTATTCTTCTACCAGGAAAAGGGAAAACTTTCTCCTGCAAATGTTTAGAAAAGACCGTGTGTGTGTGTGGTCTTTTCTAAACATTTGCAGGAGACAGTTTTCCCTTTCTTTTTGTCAAATTGGAATGATTTGTCAGAGTGTGTACACATGATTCACCCACTTCCTGTATTTCATGTGTCATAGGTCAACTGCAGAGCTTGAGTCTTACCATAATCACATACTAATGTATGCTGGTAAGCGTTTCGGATTCTCGCCCCCTGTGTATGAGGCCGGGTCCTGTTAGCTGCCCTCGATTACAACCACCACCTTGGCCGATCACCGAAAAAGACATCTTCAGGAGATTATCAGTAAGTTCAACATGAAGCAATCTATTAGTTCTGATTGTTAGCAAAGTGTCATGACAAGATCTATTGATATTAAAATATGTCCCATGACATCAGTATATGTAAAAGAAGTGGAGCATAATCAGCACTATGGTGATTTGCGGTGAAAGTTGCAAGTTCTTGACTTCAAACATTGTTGTTAGAAAAATAAAGATGTTTTATGTAGTTCAATACATTGACGTACAACCCAATGTCTTCATTGAAATTGTGTATTACCGAAGGATACTTTCTGATTTAAAAAAAAAAAAAACCATAAGTGTTTATCCTAGCTATTAGACTCATCTGAACATATTTATGTATGAACTCAATTTAATCACTTTTAACGTCTAACTAGGTACCGCAAGCTGTTTAACAAGAAGTCAAGGAAGTGGACCCTGCAAGTACAAAAACAAAAAAAAGAATACAGCTACATTCCAGCACTGCAAAAAGCTGTCCTGCTAAAAAGGCTGTCGTGCGGTAAGGGTATGCCAGCAGTGACGCCAAAGAGACCAGATGACCCCAGACTTCTTGGAGTTCACTTTGGAGAGACCCAAGAGGGAAAATGCAGTTAGAAGTTTGTTGATTGAGTATGTTTGGCGCCCTAGGCCCGGGAGAGATGCTGATGAGTGCGGCGCTTGCTCGCGCGCATGATCCCCCCCCGGGGCCTAGGCACTGGTGACGGCAGAGGCAGTAGGCAAGCACGCTTCGATGAGAGAAGGAGGAGGTGGGGCGGCGGAGGCTTTGCAAACTTCAGAAGGCCGGGAAAGTGGGCGTCTCCGGCTTTTAACTTGCTGTCCTGGTGGTTATTGGTGGATTAGATGTGGGCGTTTTGCTGGTGTAATGAGTAGAGGATGAGCAGGCTTGTAGATCTGGCAGCAGTGGCCGGGTCTACCACAGTGAACTTTCGCGAAGAGCTTCATTTCACTTTGGAGAGACCCAAGAGGGAAAATGCAGTTAGAAGTTTGTTGATTGAGTATGTTTGGCGCCCTAGGCCCGGGAGAGATGCTGATGAGTGCGGCGCTTGCTCGCGCGCATGATCCCCAAAACGGGCAGAGTTATCTTTGCGCGCCGGGACGTGAGCGCTCGCTTCACGATCAACCGGACGCTGCCTGGGACGTGAGCGCTCGCATCACGATCGATACCAGACGCTGTAGCGGAGTTGTCTTTAAGCGCCGGGACGTGAGCGCTCGCTTCACGATCAACCGGACGCTGTCTGGGACGTGAGCGCTCGCATCACGATCGATACCAGACGCTGTAGCAGAGTTGTCTTTAAGCGCCGGGACGTGAGCGCTCGCTTCACGATCAACCGGACGCTGTCTGGGACGTGAGCGCTCGCATCACGATCGATACCAGACGCTGTAGCAGAGTTGTCTTTAAGCGCCGGGACGTGAGCGCTCGCTTCACGATCAACCGGACGCTGCCTGGGACGTGAGCGCTCGCATCACGATCGATACCAGACGCTGTAGCAGAGTTATCTTTGAGCGCCGGGACGTGAGCGCTCGCATCACGATCAACCGGACGCTGTCTGGGACGTGAGCGCTCGCATCACGATCAACCGGACGCTGCAACAGGGTTATCTTTGAAGAAGTGCGTGCCGCCACCAGAATCTTATTGGTTCACTTACTTTGCTTTGTATTGCTTTGCTGGGAGCTTACGAGGAAGCCAGTAACCGTTGTGCAGCCAGGATAGCGGACGCGTCTGGCCTGATGTAGGTGGAGAAAGCCGAAGAGGACCAGCGCCCCAGCTGTTGCAGAGAGGTGTGGGGGAGCCCCAGCGAGGCCGCGCGCGTGGCGGCGCCTATCCTGAAGGAGTGAGCTGTGTAGAGCTGGGGAGACAAATTATAGAGGAGCAGTAGGGATCTTAGCTGAGCTCTGAACCAGGTTGCTGTCATGGGAAGAATGTCTGGAGTGAGAAATAGAGGTCCGTTAAGATCTCCTTTTTGCAGCGGAGGCGAGTGTAACGCATAAAGGATTTGTAGGGGCAGAGAGATGTGTCCGAGCGAGCTATTACTATATTGCAGGCTCCTTAACAGGTCACATGTACTCAAGTATGTGTTCTCCCGGGAATATTCAGTAGTGTGTGGGAAAGTGGTTTTCTCCTGAAGTCGATTACCATCTCCTTGGTCTTACTGGTGTTCAAGCACAAGTGGTTGCGCTCACACCAGTCGACAAAATCCGTGATAACCGCGCTCCCGGCAGGCCCCAGGTGGGAGAGCGTCCGCTGCAGTAAGTAGATGACAGCGTCCTCTACTCCGATGTTGGGCCAGTAGGCGAACTGCAGCTTTGCTCCAGATACTTATGGGCATGATTTTTCCGCTATGTCCCTCAAACAGTGTTTTGCCCGAAGAGAGGCGAACACTGCACTTGAGTCCAGTGGGAATTTAACCTCTAACTCCAATGGTAAACGCTTAACCCGCTCTCAGCGGTGACAGCCACTGTCACCAAAGAAAATAATTTTAGACCAGAGTCTCACTGTGGGTCTGGTTTGGTCTGTCTTTGCTTCGGCTTTAAAGAAGCTATACCCGTTTCTGCAATGTTTTTTTCAGTTTTAATGTTTAGCACTGCTCACAGGCTTCTCATTTCCCCTCCCTGATACCATTGACAACATTAGAATTAGCGCAACTTCTTCTTGTACAACAATCACTGATGAAATGGTACAAAAGCAACGCACTGATAACAAAATATATATAAGAAAGATTACCGCTAGTTTCGCATCAAAATGTAGTCTGAGGCGGTCCCAAGCTCGCAGGTCTCTCGAGAAGATACCATAGCTAGCTACGTTCACCCGGGCTTGATTTCTTCTTTGATAAATGTTTTGATTTAGTTCCCTCTTCCCTTCCTCACTGTTACGTTGTTTGGGCTGTTTTGTTGTGTATGCAGTTACAGCCAGAGGAGTTATAGCCACTTTCTGCTAACATTGCTGCTGTGTTTACCTGCGCTGCAAACGCTAGAGGAGGCAGCCTGCTCCTTGTTCTGTGATTGGAGGAGAGCTCGCGTCACGTTAAGTTTCTATTCAGCACATTTTACGGTCTGAATTCATACACAAGCTGAATCAATAAGCTCAAGTTTTCAATTAAATTACGGGTTTTAATACAACTTGTGTGTAGTGATACACATTTTTATGAACTCATACTCGGGAAGAGGAGGAGGAGGAGGGATGGAGACAAGTAGAGGAGTGAGGGGGAGAGGAGGAGGAGGGAGGGCCCACAGAGAAGAGAATGAGTGAGTGCTGTCACCACACTCAACCTGGGGAATCATATAAAAATCTGATTTATTTAATATGTTCTTTCATTGAAAAGTCTAGTTATTGTGAAGTCAGTGTGTGTGAAGGGTGACACAAGAGTTCAACTGCAAATTTACCCATTCATTCCTGATCCTGGTCCTGATGCTGGTCCTGATCCTGTCCCATTATATCAGATAATACTTTATAACCACACAAAATATACAGCCAATTAAATGAAAGTTTAATGCGTGAGCGCTGCTGTTGCTTGGTAGATTCCCTCCCTTAACTCTCCCCTGGGACCTGTCTGCCCCACTGCCCTACAACTGCACCCGCATTACAACTCAGCATTGTACAGAATGTTGGAATATCTGTTTTTTTTTATCATTATTCCTATTACATTTCAACAGCTTTAATCGATCAATCAATCAATCAATCCTTTATTAACGCCGCTTTATGGGGATACTGTGTGATATACAGTAGTCCGGTCTGCTGGGTTTGGAGCCTAGCTCAGAGATAAATAGCTCTTGAGCTATAACCTGGTACAATGCATCTTTCCCTTTGAGGTTAATGTTTATTGTACACTGTCTTATCATCTTAAATAGTTAAACTAAACTAAACTAAAAATGTTAGTCTCTCATATGGATGTGGGTCAAATTCAATCAACAGTTTTTTGTGATAGCAGCCCAGGTTTCCTGCAAGAGCTGCCATCTCCTTTCTCTAACCGTGCGCCTATGCATGAATAATACAGGATAATGTTGCTCCTGACTCCACTATGAATTATATATACACATGTTCAAGGAACGCACTCTCAGTCGCTTTGTTTCTTGCAGATGGTCTACAGGTCTAAGGGAGGACTGGGGACGCCAGCCAGACACAAGGGACCCTGACCCCTGATTGTGATCCTTGACTGAGTATTTGGATGATCTCCATGGTGACCAGGAGCAGGTCGCCCTCTACAAAACATGGCGTCCAATTTCAACGACGTCGTGAAGCAGGGATATGTGCGTCTGCGCAGCCGTAGACTGGGGGTGAGTTAGTGGGTGAGGGGTGAGTCTGTGGGTAAGTCTGTGTGAGTCAATGGGTGTGTCAGACAGAAATAAAAAGGTGAGGTAACAGTTACTGAGCTAGAGGAGTTTACTTTTACCTGTAAGTCAATAGTAACCAGAGAGAGCTGGAGTCAAACTCAAACAACAATGTGAACTGCTGAGCCTATTACAGCTAGCTAAGAAACATAGCAGTTAGTTATAACTAACACCATGAGCACTTCCCTATTGGCTTCATTGAGCTAGCAGGTTAGCATTGTCCATCTTTATACAGTCTATAATAATTAGGGAGAGACCAGAAAGAGACCATAAACTAGAGAGAGACCAGTAACAGCTGATCTAAAGTTGTGACCGATGCCATATGTATGGGATAGAAGAAGTGTTTTAAATCTGGTCTTGGATCAAATGCTGAAAACAAAAGGCAGCATTTTCCATTTCAAGACTCCATGTTTGTGAAGTCTAATGGCAGTGAATGCCTTTAGAATGTGGTCCCTCCAAAACCCAGTTGACTGCATCTCTAGAGTAATCACTTTGGAGGATCAGGATGGGGGTTAGATTTCTAGAAAACCAAAGGATTTAACAAGAACTAAAGTTCAGGATTACAAGAACACTAAAATCCCCACAAAGTATGACTTTTATGAAACTGTAGGTTCTCTGTCAAATGAGGTCAAACTGTTTTAGTTTACAATGTGAATTTAGTCTGCAGGACCGGGGGCGCCCCCTGTGCCCATTGGTGGGACAGCTATGAGCTAGTAATACCCTATCCAGATATTATTAAAGATTCATGATTAGACCTTGTACAAGACATAGGCAGTGAGCAGGTACAAGCTGCAGAACAGAAGGATCCAGAACTACCAGCCCAGGTTCTACACTCTCACCTCCAGAATCTGGGATCTCCAGGTTTAAGACCTGCTTCACCTGTGATACTTGACCCAGAAATATATACATATATATAAGGCTGGAACCTGGGAGGCCAGGGATTGAATCTGACAGGGAGCACAATAATACCGTTACTAGTCTTTTTTCAGTAACGAGTAATCTAACTAATGACTTTGACTGTAACTATAACGCCGTTATCATTGCCGACACCCCCTTACTGCACGTTACTCAAGTCGCACAATTCACTTTTTTAGGACTCGTGCGCGTGTTGTCATGATGTCATGAAGGATGAGATAACCTCTCAGCAATTATTGGCTGATGTAAAACATATTTCCTTAACAATCTACATGTCTACAGCTGAGAGGATGACTCATAAATTGTGTTTTTGACAACAAATATGGGTCTTAATCACGCTCAACCACGGCTTGTAATGTCACCAAGTGAGGCCAGGCTCAGCGTACGGGGGCGCATGTGAGCGCAGAATTCAGCTACATCCAATTCCATCAGAATCTTCATCTGCTAAGGGCAGCTGCAGGTTTGGCTGACATACATGTAACACATTTTAAGATCATTTAAAATGCACTTAGGGTAATGTTTCAATGACGGTAGGAATGATAAGAAAGAGAGGTGAAGGGAAAGAAGGTTGATTTTTTAAATTGGATGCACCCGAGATTCGGCTGCAGCGAAACACAAGAGAAGTTTATGGAGGAGACACCCGTTTGGTTTTACTTTTTAAAACTCATTGGACTTATTTCCAAATGGAGGATTACACACTGGAAAAAATGCCTGTCTTAAAACAAGTAAAAAAATACTTAATATAGGACATTTTGCCCTTGAAATAAGTGAAAAAATCTGCCAATGGATCAAGCACATTTTGACTTGGGGAAAAATCTTAAAATAAGATATTCTGTCTAGGTGTTAAGTTGCTTGAAATAAGATAAAAAAGGCTAATTTTCAGGTATCAACTAAGTCTCAAAAGCTCAAAATGCTTGTATTTCATCTCAAATCTAGCCGTTGATTTGTCAATAATTCTTATTTCAAGTATTATATAGTCTAATAACAAGCTCCTTATGAGCCTTAGTTCTCCTAAATTAGGACCATATTTTCTTAAAATAAGACTGCAACAAGATCAAATTACCTTAAAACAAGACAAAGAAGAAATGTGCTAGGACACTTTATTAAGCTCCAACAATGTCTGACATCCACACTGTTTTTCAGAAAAAGTGATAACTACAATGCAGTGAGAGTAAATATGAACAAGTTTTACAACTTTAACATTTTGTTCTGGTTTCTCTGATGGAATTATCTCCATGGTTACACAGAGAAAACCGCCCTTGCAGGATATAAAACTAGCACTATTCTACAATGAATCAATCTAAAAAAAACAAAACAAATACACCTTTATCCCCCTTTTTTACAAAAAGCACCTCCTTTTTTTTAGAGGTGCTTGTCATATAATGGAAAAAGAAATCATTTATTTCTGTAATTCAACTTAAATGTGAAGCTAATATGCGATATAGACTCATTACATGCAAAGTGACATGTAAGGCTTTATTTGTTTTAATTGAAATGATTATGGCTTACAGTCAAATTTCAAAATATTTCTTTTTAAGGAGATTTTTAATTTGGGTTTCAACAAGCTGAGCCATGATCATCAGAATTATAACAAAGGCTTGAGATATGTCAATTTACATGTATTGAGTCTATCATATATTAGTTTCACAGTATATGTTGAATAACAGGTGAATGCACTTTTTCATTATATTCTAATATGATGAGCACCTGTAGCATTTTTTTTAACCGTCAACTTTCACAATTAACACATGGTGAAGAAAAAAAATCCACAATCCAAAACAAATATCTGCTACAGGGCCCTTAAAAAAAAAACTTTGAACTGTTTGAACTGACATTCAAAGTCCTCAATTTTTTCTCTGAAGCAGGATTTACTGTCCCAAAAAAGCTCTCCAATCTGCCAAAGACTTCCTGTACATTGATGTGAGATCTCCGTCATGTATTTGATCCAAAAGAACCTCCGTTTGTATCATGGAGAGCACAGACGACACACATTTGGGGTATGTTAGGTGCAGTGCGTAATAATACCCCATAAGATACAAGGCACCCTCTGAAATCTTGTCTTTTGGGAATGTGCATACCGGCTTGTTCCCAATTGCTACCAGACAGTTAGAAGGGCTCAACAACAGGACAGGGCTGGACAAAGGACGCTTCTTCAAGTAGGTGTTGGGGTCTTCTTTGTCCTTTGAAAACAAGAGAAACAAATCTGACATGAGCAACTTAAAACTCAGCACAAGCACTTTCAGATTATTCCATAATTGTGCAATGCCTCCATGCTCACTCACATGTAATGTGTGACTGCTACCGTAATGGCCCTTTTAATTAGTTCTTCCAATATTCTTTGAACTTTTTGTTATTGAGGACTTAAATTTGAAAGCAACCAAGTGCATGTGTGTGACCATGGTGTGACCAAAAGAAAATAATAGGTTGTACCAGTATAAGTATGTGAAAACATTTGTTTAGAGCTGTGTGTAATAATATACATATATAATACATTTTAAAATCAGCTTTTATTGTAGCTTACCTGAAGCACGTGAAGTAAAGCTTCGCTGGCATCCTTCAACTTCTTTGGAGGTGCAGATGCAGAGGGAAAAAGGGATGGCAGGATGCGTAGGACCTCGACAGCCTGATGAACTGAAACAAAGTAATTGAGTGAGTGTAAAAATAAGTGATCACACACTCAAAACGAGATTTGAAAGAATTTTAAATGCTTTAATTGCTACCTAATAAACCTACAAAGATCCTATTTATGTATTCTTATAATGTATTAACTGGTTGTTTGCCATTGACGCATAAGGACGTCAAAGCAAATAGTAACGTGCAATTAACGTATTCATACGTCAATTGCGTTTTCCGCTATTTTCATTCTCCCAGATGTCTATTCTATCTAATATTTATGGGGATTAGGCTTAGACCATATTTTATCGAGCCAGCAGGTGGCAGCAGCGCTGCGTAAACAAGATGCACTTGTGCCTCTTTTTTCTCAGCTTTTTGTCTGAGACTGGTGATTTCAGTAAAACTTCCCTCTACTCAACTGGGGATTATAGGGGAACGAAACAAGCTAGTAGCTTGGATTTCAGATAGTCATGTACACAATATTCTGTGGGTCTTGAAAAATCAATAAAACTCATCAGAAACTGCTGGCAATATGGGAGTACTTGTTCTGAAATAGGCTGGCATGCAATGGTTAAGAATCACATTGAAATTGGTCATTGTGCCATTCCTACAACACATTTTCGGGCCCTATAAAATACCATAAGATCTTATGCACCAGTCTTACTTTTAACAGATTAACACCTACCTATCCAGGGACAGCAGGTTCAAAGTTACATTTACTCTAACCTAAAACCTGGCATGTGCCATTTATTTTAGGCAATTGTTCAAATAAAAGAACATTCTAATTCATACCTTCATCCATTCCCATTGGAGGCTTAAGAATCTTCTTCCACACACCCAGGAACTGCACCTTTTGGCAGAAGTCACGCCATCTTGCTCTTGTTTCCGAAAGGTATCTGCTGTTGTTACTGTCCAAAATGCGACGAAGCTCATCCATCACCTAAAAATGTATGTGACTAATTATTTGCAGAAAACCAAAACGCAATGTTCTCTAAAAATTCATTAACTTACATGTTCAATGTTCTTAAAACAAGGATAAGCATCCAGAATTACAATGTGCCTGCTCTCCTCTGGAACTGTATTAGAGTCCATAAAAGCTCGTCTGGCGGTGAACTCTAAATCCAGGAGGTGAGAGATGGTTTCTGGGTTTGGATTTTTTTTCTGAAACAAAGTTTGCAAGGTCTTGTAGTGTTTTGCCAAAACTGCTGGGCTGCTAGTGGGGGGACTGTTGGAGTCTTCTGGGGTGTTGACTGTTACACAAAGAAAAACAAAATGCCATGAACAATAGAACATTAAAAATATAAAATTCAAAAACTAAAAATATAAAATTTACGGTCTGTATCAAGGTTCCTGACAGCTGTACCATTATCTTCTGGTAAATTATCTGGGAAAAAATATGCAGAGGTGAGTGGCTAAGTGGCAACATCATGTTTTTTTCCTACAAATGACGCTGCCTCAGTCAACTTCCCTACCTCCAAAAACATGCTGCTCAACAAAAGTGGTGGCACGGCTCAGTCGCAGCGGCTCAGGACCTACACCTGAACAAAATGTTGTTGTATGGTTGTACAATGACAAATAAAACACTTTCAATTCCAGATTAAAATTATGAGTGTACCCTCCATAATAGTGGATTCGCCAGGATCTATCTCCACTGGCTCTCTTGGGCAGGAAATTGTTGAGGGTTTTTCTGGAGCATTTCTAGGTTTTCCTGGAGTGCTTTTTTGGGGGGACCTCATGTTCTGCAATCTTTTGTAGAGCTGTTTGTACACAGTGGTCTACAACAAACAAAAAATATGATACTTGAGTTAAAACAATACAATAGCACTGTAAACATATACAGTTTAGTAATTACCCAAGGAGATCTTGCATCACGGTCTTCTAACATGGGATAATATTGTACCATTCGTTTAGCCATCAGAATAATTTCTGGTTTGTCCGGGTATTTTTTAGACTCTTCACATCCTGTTGCCCTCAGGATTGCGATCATACTTGTCATTGTGTTCCGGATAAGACGGCACCTGAGATCCCTGTTCATTTTGAAGTCGCCCTCTTTTCCAATTTTGGCTAACTCAAAGTACTTTTTGCGTTCTTTGGCAACGTCCGTATCAACATACAATACATAGTCGGGACTAAGCAATTTCACCACTTTTGCAGGAGATCTGTAGTTAAAAGATGCTGCTTTCTCGGGTGTGGATGCCTTTGGTTGAGAATGATTCTTTGTACAACTGTCCGTTAGGTTGAAAGCCTCTTGCAGGGAACCCTTTAAAAAAGATCATCAAATTAAATTCCATACACTAGAGTGCACTCCAAAACAGATGTATCTGTGAAATGTTACTGGGCAAATTAGCCAAGCTCTATTCAGGAAGATAGAAACTACAAGTAGAGAAAGCAAAAGCAGATATAATGTAAGACTGCAGTAGGGCTGAAACAACTAATCCATTAATCGACGACTAATCGATTATTGAAATAGTCGACAACTATTTTAGTAATCGGTTAATCGTTTTCTGGTTCACACGGACTCAAACAGAGCAAAAATGACATGAAAATGTAGTATTTTTGATTAAAACCAACTTTAAAAAAAATAATTTCATGAATATCTGTCTGTCTCATCCAATCAGATAGAGCCTGTTACAAACATTTACTTTAAGTTTACGCCATCAATACGTCCTCGATTGTTGCCACTAGCTTTTTGTGATGAAAAAATACATTTTTTCTACACAATTCACAGCCAAGCGATTACTCGATTAATTGTAAAAATAATCGATAGATTAATTGATTAGATTAAAATAATCTTTAGTTGCAGCTCTAGACTGCAGAGCCATTTGGCTTGATGGGCGTACATGGCTTTAATTTGGAACCATTTTAGAGAATTTGTAAAGTACAATAATCAAAATGTAACATTAAAAAGCATGCAAAGCCATAATACGTTTTTATTGAAAACATTTTTTAGCTATACACAACAGTATCATCTAATCATGAAATATGAATTTAATCTCACCTCATCAAAAACACTATGACTTTGACACACTTGCCAGACTGCTTTTCTCCGTATGAAGTTTTCTGGGCCCGGGAAAAGGTCGTTCAGGTCCTCACGCGATAAGGTCCCCATCATCGCCTGGCTAATGTTAGCCGCTGTGGGGGGAAAAATGGCGGGAGTCTAAAATAACGGTTTAAACAGCAATTAAAAGTGTTGTGATTTACAACTGCATAATGTGCAGTTCCAATGTAAACATGCCTATGAACGTATTATTTTGGCCAATAAAACAATTATATATTTTACCATTTAACGTTGAACTGGCAATCTCATCTAGCTTCTCCATGTCAAGCCGTTTTACGCCTGCTGCCTGCCCTGGTAAGTTGCTGTCGTTTGCCGTAATTATAGCTGGTTAACACAGAACAAGTTATGATATAACGCTTTCCAGAGAAATTTTAAGTTACACAATTATCTATAAACAACTAAAAAGTTAATTTCTGACGCAACAAGCAACAAAAATTGCGCTCGCCTTTTTACTCTTCCCCTCACAACGTCCTGTCACTCCCGTGGTGAGTCCTGTATGTTTCGCGCTCAAGCCCAAGCCGAACCTAGTTGACCGGTGGACGCGACCATTTCTAAAACCGGGGTGCGGTTACACGTATTTTTGATGCATGATACCTGACGTACATTGTAAATGTATTGTGCGTTGTCTTGTATTTTACTACTCTGAAAATTAAGTTCGGTGCAAATGGATTCAGTTACCAAAATGACATTAATACAAATCACCCCCTTTTAATAGTTGGGACACTCTGCTTTGATTTGATCCGTTATGTACAACACGCATATCCAAAGAAATACCTCGTTTGAATTTGAATCTGTCTAGTATTCCGGAATCTCGTCAGAAATTGAACAACTCAATTTATCAATATGATTTGGCGTTGCTTTATATGTTGCGTTTTTATCGCGTTGACTCTCAAACAACTACTGAGTCACATTCACTCTATGCACAGTCGCAGTCCTGACTTTCGCCTTGTTTGCGGCATTGACGGCTGCCTCCGAGAGTACAGAGTGTACAACTCGTTTTACTACCATGTAAAGCGAACGCACACTCACCATCTTTTCCAAGTACAAGCTGAAGGAGGCGAAGAGGAGTCTTCCTCCGGGATGGCTACAGCCAGCCTTGGCCGAGCTGAGGAGGACGACGTTGCTGCGGTTAACACCGCGGAAGTACTCAACGAGGACGGTCAAAGTAATGGTTCAGAGGTAACTAGCATTACATAAACTGGTTGTTTGGCGCATATGTGGAATGTGAAAACTTTATCAGTAAACCCCTGTCTACTGTAGAGTATTCGGAGCAAGGCTCTGAATGCGCTAGCTTAACTAGCCTAGCCTATCTTAGCTAGCCTAGCTTAGCATAGCTAATAACAGGGAGCCAAGCTGGCCTGAGAGAAGTACACCCTTGCTTATATTTAGGGACCGTCAACATTTTACGTTACCTTTATTTTTCGTTATTATGAAAATGGATATATAGAAATAGAGGCTAAATGATACAATAAATCAAGAAATATGTCTAAAACATAAAAATGGAAGATTCTGACAGTTTTAGAATATTTAGCCGTTATGGTTTTTTCCACTTTCATAATAGCAAAAAATTAAAGTAGCGTAAAATTTTGATGGTCCCTAAATATAAGCGAGGAAGTAACTGAGATAATACAGTACATGTCCGTTCTTCTCAGTGCTCTTCTCAGACCGGCTGACGGCCCCATATCCAACCAACTTCACAGTTGAAAGCAGGGAGGACTAGTGCTTTATGTTGGGATATAAGAAATAAAATGTTTAAAGAAATACTTTTTTTTTTTATATGGTTGGTTGTAGGTATTAATTTGTGTAATTCCGTAAACTTACAGTATGTTGGAAAGAAAATGTACAGTAAAAACACAACAAAAACAAAGAATGATGATGGGTTTTGAAGGCCTTAGATTTCAAATGAGGCCTAGGCTATAAGCTTCAGTCAAGAAACTTTTGAATGTGGGTAAAGTTGGAGAAAATGTTCTCGGTTAAGGGACATTTTTAGCTTGTTTAGCTGTTGATGAATCCATTAATTCTATTTATTACATTTATCTAATTTTAGAGTGAAGCGCCTGCGCGTGTCAACACATTGGGAATCAATCTTTCTAAACAAGCAACAGCCTTCCTTCTACAAGCAAGAGAAGCCAATCGGCTGACACAGGTAATTATTTTTTAGACATCCATATTACATATCAAATAATGTTTAATTTTGTTCAATTCCTTTTAGCTTTTGTTTGTGTGTTTTCTTTTTTTCTACAGAGAGCTGTTAATCAAATGGTGACTGCGACCCAGCAATACCAGGCATCATTAGTGGAGCATCTGAGACTTCAGGTGAACCGTGTGTTTGAGCAGCATTCAGAGGACCTTGGTTCACTGAAGACTGAGGCGATGGCAGTATTTGATCAGTTTGCTGACCCCTTCAGTGAAATTTCTACAACCCACCTACAGGACAAGAAAATCAAAGAACTACTGCAACCTGTTGAACCAGAAGCCGTTATGTCAAAGCAGACTGTGAGTTATGCACAAAGTGGAGATGCGAGAGCCCTTGTCATCAGGGATCATTGTTTTCATTATATTCCACTTGTAAAAAGTTTAGAACAATTGCTATTGCATCCAAACATTCTTGCAATGATTGAAGCAGGTTCACAGCAGTGCAGTGAGGGATTTTTTATATGATGTGTGTGATGGACAAATTTTTAAATCACACCCTCTGTTTATGAGAGAACCGACGGCAATGCAAATAATTTTATACACAGACGAAATTGAGTTATGCAATCCTCTTGGGTCTCGGGCAACCAAAAATAAATTGCTACTGATCTATTACACCTTGGGAAACATTGACCCTAAATACAGATCAAGGCTGTCTGCAATACGTCTGCTTGCTATGGTAAAATCAAAAGATCTTTCACACTGTGGCATTGACAAGATACTTGGGAGGATTAACTGTGACCTAATCAAGCTGTATGAAGGTGTGCCAGTGATGACTGCAAATGGTGAAAAGACAATTTATGGGGCAGTTGTGTCGGTGTGTGGGGATACTCTTGCCCAACATGAAATTGCTGGCTTTAAGGAGGGAGTAGGGTTTGCCTACAGGAAATGCAGACATTGTGAATGTGACTCTGAAAATATCCATGAACTATTTAATGAAGATTTGTTTGTTAAGAGGACAATGGCAAGTCATATTAGACAATGCCATGACATTGAAAGGGCTAGCACTGACTTTCTGAGAGAAAATCTAAAAACAACATACGGTATAAACAGGAGAAGCAAATTGACAGACTTTCCTCACTTTGATATAATCAATCAAATGCCACAAGATATCATGCATATCATTCTTGAGGGTGTTGCCCCATATGAAATAAAATGTACTTTAAAGCACCTTGTGACTTCAGGGCAAATGGACTTGGAGCAATTTAACAGTGCTCTCATTGCCTTTCCTTATTCTCCTGTGGATGTTCGAGATAAGCCATGCCCAATATCTCTCAGTACACTTCTATCTACAGACAATAAATTGAAACAGTCATCGGGGCAGATGCTGGTTTTATTAAAGATTTTGCCCTTCCTAATTGATTCAGTTGAGGAAAATGATTATGTGAAATGTTTACTTCAGTTGTTGGAGTTTGTGAAAATAATTTTTTCACCTGTAATTGCTCTTTCCACTGTCTCAAGACTAAAGTGTTTAGTAGAAAAACATTTGCACAATTTCAGACGGCTGTTTCCGGAGTCAAGTATCATACCTAAGCAGCATTACCTTCTCCATATTCCTTCTCAAGTTAAAGCATTAGGTCCTTCAGTCAGGCATATGTGTATGCGTTTTGAATCAAAACATTGTTTTTTTAAACAGTGGGCTTTAAAAAGCAGCTTTAAGAATATATGTAAATCACTTCTGAAGCATAACCAACTCTATGAATGTTGTCAGAATGTACATGATAGACATCCCATCGTTTCACATGAACTTGAAATGGGTCCTGTTTCTGAGGTAAATCAGATTGCTTATGTAGAGGGAAAGCTTAAAGACTTTTTTGGAATAGAGCTAATTGATTATATCATTTCAGTGCCTTGGTTAGCGCTGCATGGAAATAAGTATAAGTGTGGGAAATCGTTGGTTATTTCTGGCGCCAACAATAATACTCCAGAGTTTGCCCTTGTGAAACATATATATGTTGTAAATGCTTCTGTCTACTATCTTGAATGCCAACCTCTATCAACAGTGATGTGGAGTGATTGTTATTTAGCTTATGAGGTTGAGGTTCCCTTTGCAGCTCAAGCCAATATTTTTGTTGATGCTAGCAATCTTCTTGATTACAGTCCATACTACTTTCTGACATTCAACAATAGGAAATACATTCCAGTGAAATATGATCTAACCGACATAATTGCACATCACACTACCAATGTAAATAACTGAGTCAAGCTGAGCTTACTGCTACCATTTGAGCATGTATACCTTTTCTGATCTTGACTGAAATGTACCATTTGCCTTTTAGTACATTTTATGCCATATTTGTTTGTGCACTACTTTTATGGCTGACAGGAGGATCAGTGGGAGCCGAGTCAGTTGCCCTTCACAGGAGCTCCTGGACCACAGAGACTGCGGACAGAGGCTGCGAAGCTTGATTCATCTGATCCAGCTGACTTTCTGGAGCTGGATTCATCTGATCCAGACTTTCTGGAGCTGGATTCATCTGATCCAGACTTTCTGGAGCTGGATTCATCTGATCCAGACTTTCTGGAGCTCTTCTTCACGGAGGGAGAACTACAAATGGTACACAGCGTGTCGTGTTCCGTTGCACACAGTGTTTCAACCTCTACAACTCAAAGCTGAACTACTGGGAGGACTGAAAAAGCAGATAAACTCACTCATACACACACTCACGAACACTCACACGCACACAGACACACACACAGACACTCACTCACACAGACACTCACTCGCACACTGACATTCACACACACAGACACTCACTCACACAGACACTCACTCGCACACTGACATTCACACACACAGACACTCACTCGCACACTGACATTCACACACACACACTCAAATTCACACGCTTCATTCTATT